TGTGCCCAATGTACGACAGTAAGAGATTAGAAAACTAGTTTATGAGGATATGTAGAGAAAAAAAGAATTAACTTTAAACTTAAGAATTAAGATTGTAATTGTGGAAGCATCCCCTTGGGAGTCTGTTTCACAAAGTAGTGGTTCCTGGGAAATAGCTTTTCGAATTAAACTTCCTCCTTACGAATGGAATACGAAGGGTATGGAAATGATTTGTCCTATTGTACGTCACGTGTTTTAGCTGTGAAGGCCTGAAAATAGCAACAGAGTAGTGAGAGGGTAGGGATGTGGGAAAAGGGTTGTTGAGTGTAGAATAATTTATCCTCCTATCAAAACTGTAAAGTGAGATGTTTGTAAATCCGGTCTATTCCATCGAAAAGGTTTTCATAGGGCGCTCCATTTTTATGATCTTGCGCCAGGCTAAGACGGGTTTAAGAAATATGCGAACTTTACTGCAGACAACCAAGATTACGTCTTCTTCTTATCGCAAATATTGGAAGAGTGGCCGTTTGAATAAAAACTGGGTGTCGTGTTATTTAGCTGAACCAAACTGTTGTGGACCTTGTTCAAACTACATATCGCTCGAAGCACGTGTCTCCCTTGTTGTATTGTCTTTGTGGTTAAGGTCGATAGTTTCCAGTGGCCGACTTCCGGTTCCGGCCGACGCGTGAGTGACACCGGAAGAGACAATGTGTAAACATTGTGGTGGGAATTGATCGCGCAAGAAACAGACAAAAGAAAGTAAATAAATGCAAAAAAAAAAAAAGGAAATACCAAATATGTATTAAAACAAAAAAGAAAGCAAAAAAAAAAAAAATTGATGAAATCCACAATAAAAAATAATGAAGACAAAATGGCGTTCTGTGTTAAAAATAAAGACTCAACATGGCGTCTCTAAAATGGGTGGGACGGTCTGAAAGAAAGGGCGGGAAAGTCACAAGCGATGGTGGCTCAATACAAAAGCAGGGAAACGAATCGATTGAGTCCAGCGGAATATTTATATGAAATAATAAAATACAATATGAGTGTTCGAAAGCTATTTTATTACTGATGTGCAAGTTCCCAATCATCAATTATTTCAAAACAAGACTGACATCATTAAAAAACAGTTCTTTTTAAGGAATATGCTGGATACATTTAAACACACCGACTAGCAGAATGAACAGATACAAATATGTTACAAGAGTTAAATTTGTGAATAATGATCATCATTATTTGCACACTTGTGTACTAATTCGAAGTGCTAGCAGGATTTAAATGAATTCCGTCAAACATTTTCTCAGCAACACAAAGTTGAATAGACACGATTACATCTAGTAATTTCAGTCCGTTCATCTATCTATCTATCTATCTATCTATCTATCTATCTATCTATCTATCTATGATACTCTGACCATTATCTATCTATCTATCTATCTATCTATCTATCTATCTATCTATCTATCTATCTATGATACTCTGACCATTATCTATCTATCTATCTATCTATCTATCTATCTATCTATCTATCTATCTATCTATCTCAGTCTCTTCATATCTATCTATCTATCTATCTATCTATCTATCTATCTATCTATCTATCTATCTATGATACTCTGACCATTATCTATCTATCTATCTATCTATCTATCTATCTATCTATCTATCTATCTATCTATCTATCTATCTATCTCAGTCTATTCATATCTATCTCAGTGGGTCCATATCTATCTCATCCCGCATCTATCTATCTATAAAAACAACGGTAAAACAACGGTAAAAAAAACAACAACAATCGAACCCCTACGCTACCGATTTTCAATATCTGCACGATCTTGTGGTTGATGAATTTTTTACACCCTAGAGTACCTTCCCCACCTTTGCTTGCATTTCATTAGCCTATCGCAGATTTTGGGCGAATAGTATTGCTCGGATCCGCCAGTTCAGACCTTCACACCGAGGACGCATCATGAGTCGACGTCTCGTTTCTTTTTAAATGATAATGAGGAAGAAGAACTACATAAATAGTTCTTTCTTTAGAACTGTTACATTATGGAACGAACATTCAAGAAGATGTTTCTCCGACAACTACAATATCAAACTCTTCAAGTCGAGTGTCAACCATTATCTATCCTACATATAGATAGATTTCACTTTTACTTTCACTTTCACTTTTGATTTGCCATGAATGCGTTCATACATCCTGCCCAGCAACTATATTACTTACAACATACACTCATTGCTCCCTCCCCATACGCCCTTACAACAACCTCGTTTAATAAGTATTGAGTGGCTCTTAGGCCTTGGGTGAATAAAAATAAAACAAAAATAACTTAGGTGTTTACGCGTTTTTTTTTAAAATTTCGTATTCCAGAAAGACAACTTCTTCAGGAGTGAATGGATGATGGTGAGGAATTAGGTGTGGGTATAGGAGGGAGGGGAAGTTGCTACAGCCCGGGGGTCAGACGCAAGATATGTGTCGGGGTCAGCGTCGGGATCGGAGTTAGTGGCTGTATTGAAATGAAAGAGACATGAACTAAGAATTTCACCATAAGCGTGCTCGTTATTCGTACAAGTATGAACGTACGCGGGAAAGAGCAGGGGGTGGGCGTGTTTATCTATGCAAATGAAGGGTGTAGAGGTAAGACTTTTCGAGGTTTGATTGATTTCTCCAGGTTCATGCGATAAACGCGAGCGAATATTTCCATTTCATGAGACATGCATATATTATTTAATGAGCGAGTGGTTCATATGTAAATAATTAATTTAAATAAAAATGTAATTTACATATCTATGTATATCATTGTGGTCATATCTATCTATCTCAGTTTTTGTTTGTTTCTATGTATGTATGTATGTGTCTGTCTATCTATCTATCTATCTATCTATCTATCTATCTATCTATCTATCTAACTATCTCAGTTTTTGTTTGTTTCTATCTATCTATCTATCTATCTATCTCAGTTTTTGTTTGTTTCTATGTATGTATGTATGTATGTATGTATCTATCTATCTATCTACCCATCTGAGTCTCTTCATATCTATCTATCTATCTATCTATCTATCTATCTATCTATCTATCTATCTATCTATATATTTCGGCAGCATGTTTTCATTGAGACATGTTTCATTAAATAATTTAGACATGTTGTGTCTACTTGTTTTCGATAGGATCCTTTCATATCCACTACCGAGAAGTTGGTATGACGTTTGCGCTGGATCGAAATGGTCCAGGTTCGAGTCTTGGATGGGCACTGCTGATGAGTCCCAAATAGAACAGTGCTTTTTGCATTCTGTTGAAGAGTATTCTGGGTTCGATGAATTATTATATATGGTTACTCTAAATCCCCACAACATTTCTCCACTATATATATATATATATATATATATATATATATATATATATATATATATATATATATATATATATATATAATAATGGGCAGAACTTTTCAATTTATGTATTTGTGATTAAAAACAAATTAATAATTTTTGTTGATTTATTTTATTCACTGTTTCACAGTTTCTGATCATTTTTCTGAATTCTGGCTCAGGCTTGTAAATATATCTTATCTTCCCATTTCAAGGCACTTTAATTGTTCAAATAGATAGATAGATAGATAGATAGATAGATAGATAGATAGATAGATAGATAGATAGATAGATAGATGAATGTATGTGTGTGAGTGTTCAGATATAATGATAGAAAGTATGAAAAAGGATGAAAAGGAACAAACACTTTAGCAAAGAAACATCTGATTGAGAACATGACAAACAGGAATACATTAAAGTGAAAGTGAAAGTGAAAGTAAATCTATCCGTGTATACATTTCAGTTTGAAATTTCAATAGGAATAGACAAGTCTATGTTTTTCTTAAATGTGTCAGAAACAGATGGAGCGGACGCAAGGACATCCATATCTCAGTTTAAGTTGAATAGTGTTTATGCTTTTGTTTTTATTCCGATTGTAGATTTTCATTAATGTGAATACAAAAGTTACAAAACAGTTCTAGTTAGTTATATTGACGTGTCCTATTTTTCTGGACGTTATGATTGTGTTTGCCTGTGTGCGTATGGCAACCACTAAATATGCTTTGCTTTCAGATAGACTTCTTTTAATAACCATGTTTGTACGTGTGAAAAGTACACGGGTTTATTTTTACAAGTTGGACTCTGTGTATTTATCTTTAAAAGCGCAAAAATTTGGTTTAACGAAAGGGGCAGGAGAAGATTGTTGCGGGTGCTCGGTAAATTAAGCTGACGAAGAAAGAATGAAATCGAAGAAAATGCTTTAGTAAGAGAGAATAAATGATATGAAGAAAGAAAGGAAATGTGGATAAAAAAATAAAGAATAAAGGTTAGAAAGAAAAGGAAAAAGAATGACAGAGTGATCAAATGGAAAAGACAAAAAAAGAAAAAAAAAAGAAAAAAGTGAGGTGAATGAAGAAAGAGAAGAAGGAAATGGAATGAAAAAAGAAAAAAGAAAAAGTATGTCGGTTCATGAAGAACACAAACAGAAAAATAAAGAGAAGTTTGAAAAAAGACAATACGTCGTAAGAAATCAGAAAGGAAGAAAGAAGGAAAGAAAGAAAGAAAGAAAATTCATTACGAAAAAAAAAAAGAGAAATTAAGAAAGACAAACGCAAAGGAAGGTTAGGAAAATAAAAGAAGAAAAAGTGGAAAAAAAGCGAAAGAAAAAAAAAGAGAAAGATAGAACACGTAATTAAAAATGAGAAAAAGAAGAGAAAGAGGTGCTAAGGAAAATATAGACGAAAAGGAAGGTTAGGAAAATAAATGAATAAAGGAAGAAAAAGCGGAAGAAAAGAAAAGAGAAAGAAAGAACAAGGGAAAGAATACGTAAAATGAAAGAAAGAAGAGAAAAAGAAGCTAAGTAAAACATAAAAGAAAAGGAAGATTATGAAAATAAAGGAAGGAAATAACGAAATAAAAGAGAAAGAAAGAATTCGTAAGCATTAATAAAAAAAGAGAAAGAAGTTTACAAGAACATAAACGAAAAGGAAAGATTATGAAAATAAAAGAATAAACGAAGGAAAGGACGGAAAAAGTGAAAGTGAAAGTAGAACAAGCAAAAGAATGAATATAAAAGAAAGAAAAAGAAAAAGAATGTTATTAAAAATAAAAAAGAGAAAGAGAAAGAAGAGAAAGAGGAACGAAGCAGTAACAAGCAAAGGAAGGAAGGGGTGAAAAAAAAAAAGAAGGAAAATGAAAGGTAATAACAACAAAGAAAAAAGAGAAAGTAAGAATAGAGAAAGGAGAGAAAGGTGAGCAAGAGAAAGCCACGAAAGGAAAGACACAAAAATAATGTGTGAGTAAGAGAAAGATATAAAAAAAGAAAGACAGAAAGGCAACGAAAAACTTAAACAAAAAGAAGGAAAGGATAAAATGGAGGGACAAGAATGTAGGGATGAATAAGTGCTCGTGGAAGAATAGAAAGAGAAAGAGAAAGAAATCTAGAAAGAAAGGAGATCCAGAAAAATGTAGAAAGAAAAAGAGGAAAGAAAAGAACGAGAAAAAAGAAAATTAGAGGAACGAATGATAAAAAAAAAAAAAGAAAGAAACAGAACATAAATAAATAAAGATGAAGAAATTACTGAAACGGGAAATGAATAATATAGAAAATAAAAGAAAAATGAATGAAAACAGAAGCATCATGAAAGATTGAAGGAATATAAGAAAGAAAGAAAAGAGATGGAGAAAGAAGAAAAGTTAGCCGAAATTTCTACGACAATAAAAAAAAACCCCAGTCAGATGGCGCAAAAATGAATAAAAAGCAACATAAAAACAAGCCTAAGTGTACGGAGTCACGTGTGTACACACTTCACTGTGTACACACGTGGCTGTGTCAACATTGGAGTGTGTACACATTTGTCAGGCCCAGGGAGGGGAAAATGTGAACAGCACTTTATTTGGAGACGCTATGAATATTCTAGGAGAAGCTTCAAGGCTCTAACCAAAAGGTAAGAAGAGGAATTGGAGGAACCAAAAGAAATGGCGGGAAATTGTTAGAGGAAAAACGAAAAAGTAAACCAAAAACCTGCGTAAGTGAAACACTAAAACAGTAGAAAGAAGTAATATACATTTGATGAGAGAGAGAGAGAGAGAGGGGGGAGGAAGGTTTCAAATGAACCAAATGAGTAAACTTTATCCTCTACATTGAAGATAGCGAAAGTATTACTGTTCTTGGTTCGTTTAGTGAAAACTACTCACTTATCCTTACTGCAAATTGCAAGAGAAACGTCTCTCTAGTTTTACTTTTACTTTCACTTTCACTTTTGATTTGGCATGAATGCGTTCATACATTCTGCCCAGCAACTATATTACTTTTTAGTCTTATTCTGAACAACTTGTTCACACGTAAGCACGCACACATATATACACATTTTACGTATACATTTATGTATATATATATATATATATATATATATATATATATATATATATATATATATATATATATATATATATATATATATATATATATATAAATAATTGATAATATATATGGTCAATATATATATATATATATATATATATATATATATATATATATATAAATTCCAGAGGATAACTCAAGGCAGAATATAATAGAATAAAAAAGGCTCAAACATTAATCTATGGTTATAATTTATTACATTGGAATTTGTATGTCTAGTGAACTGGATCGTGATTACGATTCCAATGTAATAAATTATAACCATGGAATATTAGTGTTTGAGCCTTATATATATATATATATATATATATATATATATATATATATATATATATATATATATATATATATGTATGTATTTTCAGAAACTTTTCTTTTTTGCTCCACTTTTCTGAACTTTTCTGCTTTTGTTAATTTCGGTGTTGAGCATTTCTCCTGCATGTTACCTCTGATCTTTCTTAAACACTTATACATAATTTCCTACTCCCATATGAGAAATCCTCGTAGATAACACTGTCATTGTAATGGGATGTAATTGAAAAGGGCGTCTGAAGATAACTGAAGTATTTCATATAAAACGGTTTAGGCTAAGATTCAACCAAGCTCTATTCGAAAACTACTGCTTCCACACAATACAAATATACTAAAAACGAGCTCCCTTGAAAATGACAAATGAATTGGCCGAATTCAATAAACAAGAAGAAAACATTATAGATTGATTTCGGTTATAATTTATTTCGTGAATATCGATATATTCGTCTCTTCAGATCGAAATCTCTTAGTAAATTCACTACAAGATTTCGGTCTGAAGCGACGAATATATATATATATATATATATATATATATATATATATATATATATATATATATATATATATATATATATTCACGGTATAAATAATAACTGAAATGAATCTTTAAGGTTTTCTTCTTGATTATTATTATTAATATAATGCTCTGTAGTCTAGATGGAGCTCTCTCCGGATTAATATCCTCCTTAGAATTATCTCTACCAGTAATAAATTGCTAATATATATATTGAAGCAATCGGCTGTCTAGCCGCACTGATGAGCTGTGATACAGACATACAGGCCTGTATGTGGATGACACTATATATATATATATATATATATATATATATATATATATATATATATATATATATATATGTCTGTGTGTGTGTCTGTATACAAACATGCCCACTCATATATATATATAAACGTAATTTCTCTGTTTTTCCAGTTTCAGTTATATCATTTTTCTCTTTTCTAAACAGATTCTCTTTCACATCGTATGTATCGTCGTTGAGCAAATATTTATTTATGGGCCATATCCTATTTTCTCATCATTGACATTGTCAATTGACAGATCCTACAACTGTATTTACTGCGTTCGCCATATTGCCTCTTCCTCGCCGAAAATGATGACGACAGTGTTTCCATCTGTTGGAGGGGAAAGATTCCCAAAAGGCAGTGCCAGACACACACAAGGTTACACACACACAGATATATATATATATATATATATATATATATATATATATATATATATATATATATACAGAATGATATATAGTTTCACATTTAAGAGCGAAAGATGGACAGAGGAGGGAACAGGAAAAGAAAAGGTACAGACAAAGTGTTCGAAAGGAGAATAAGTGAATCTGTCGAGAAAACAAATGAAGAAAATTATGAAAAACAGACAAACGAAAGAAAGAAAAAGGAAAATTGTACTGGAATAATGAGCGGAAAACAGTGATAAAAGAAAGAACGAACGAAAGAAAGAATGAAAGAAAGAAAGAAAAAAGAGAGAGAGAAAGAAAGAACGAAAGAATAATAGAATGTCAAACAGAAAGAAAGAAAGAATGAAAGAATGAAATATATAATAACAGAAAGAAAGAAAGAATGAAAGATAAACAGAAAAAGAACAATCGAATGAAGGAATGAAACTTAGAAAGAAAGAATACGAGAATAAAAGAAATAATAAAAGAATAAATGAAAAAAGAAAGAACGAAAAAAGAATGGGGTAATAAAGGAAGAAACAACAACAGAAATAGATAAAGAACGAAAGAATGAAAGAAAAAATGAAAGAAAATAAAGAGTTTCAGATTTAAAGGCATGATGTTGTAAATGAGATATGTTTGATAGATCATTCAAATGAAAACTCAAGCGTCGAGACAACGTAGTAGTAGTATGATGAGTACAATAATTTTGTCTCAGAAAAAAACTCTGATGATGACATTGCGCTAATGTCGAAAGTACTCAGAATAAATGAATATGTATCACCATGGTAATTTTCTCTTTTCCTTATATATGGATACTAGGGCGGTCAATTAATATGAGAGAATTTTTTTATTATATTATTCAATGAGACATGTCTTAATCTATCTATCTATCTATCTATCGTTATAAATTTTCCAGATTTACCTTTTGGGGCAGGTCGACTGGAAAATTTGCGTAAGTGTTCTGTCACAGCCGGGTCTGCTATCTCAGACACTTTTATTAAAATTCACGAATATGCATCATTCATCTGTGAGGATATCTTCTCTGTTTGAGCAGATCACATTCAAACTATCACTTGAAAGTCCTCGAGAAATTTACATCAAATCATGGCAACCATAAAAAAGGATTGGTTGTTAGGACTTTGTATATACTTGTGTCAATATAATATTGATACGCGTGTACGTTTTTTCCTCGTGTTTCTTTTTTTTAGTCGGTATGCATAATATATTATTTTCTTCGATCGAGTTCTGATGAATGAGGAGAAATAACCGGGTTAGATGATTTTAAATTATTTTTTCTTTTTCCCCACTTTTTTTTCTTTGTGTATTGCAAACAACTTGGAGTTTTCTACTTGTCTCTTTTAATTAATTCTGTTTATATTGCCTTAATTAAACTTCAAAAAATTACAACAAACTTTAAAAAATATAAAAACAATGAAAATTTTGTTTGACGAACGATGCTTTCCGGCACAAATCGGGTTTCTCTTAACCCATTCCGGCACTTTTCGACTCTTTCCGACATTTCTCGGCACTTACCGACAATCCCCCTTTTCGCTGGCGATTTATTTCACACCAGCACTAGCTGGTAGCGAGCTGGCCGCTACCCACCGCTCATGTCATTGTTTTGCACAATTTGTCAAATGCCTGCTTTCGCCTGTTAGAATATTCATATTGGTAATGTCACGCTGAGAGCTGGGGATCAGCCCCCGGGGTGAAGGGTGTGGAGCGTGTGCTATCGAGCTTAATTGGTGGTAATTCACTTAAGCCTTTGGCCACGCAAACTGCATTGAGAGGCTCGTAAATAATAGGGAGAAGGAGCGGAGAGAGAAGAGTTTCGGCTTGCCGCAGCACTTAAGAGCCTGATGGCCAAGAGTTAAGAAGCAGGGCGGTTAAAGAGATAGAAACACTAGAATGTGAAGATGGGTGGGGTTGGATTTAGGGTTAGGGGAGATGAAATGGAAGAATCGAGAAGGAAGTGAGAAAAAGGTAAAATTGAAAGGAAGAAAGAACGAAGAAAAGGTTTTAAAAACCAAGGGAAAGAAGAAGAAGAAAGAAAATGAACGAAGAAGAAAGAGAGAGAGAGAGAGAGAGAAAAAAAAAAGGAAAGACGAGAAGGGACTAAAGAAGAAAATGAAGAGACAAAGGAAGCAAAAGAAAAAGAAGAAGAGAGAAGGAAAAATGTAAAGGATAAAGAAAAATAAAGAAAGGGAACAAGAAGAAAGGACACGTAAAAAACGAAGAAAAAGAAAGAAAAGAAAGAAAAAACGAAAAAGAGAAAGAAGAACAAGGAAAAAGAAAAGTAAGAATTTAAAGAAAAGAAAATGTAGAAAAATAAAGAAAAGAAAGAAAAAAAACGAAAGAAAAAACGTAAAAGAGAAAGAAGAACAAGGAAAAAGAAAAGTAAGAATTTAAAGAAAAGAAAATGTAGAAAAATAAAGAAAAGAAAGAAAAAAAAAACGAAAGAAAAAACGTAAAAGAGAAAGAAGAACAAGGAAAAAGAAAAGTAAGAATTTAAAGAAAAGAAAATGTAGAAAAATAAAGAAAAGAAAAAAAAAAACGAAAGAAAAAAACGTAAAAAGAGAAAGAAGAACAAGGAAAAGAAAAGTAAGAATTTAAAGAAAAGAAAATGTAGAAAAATAAAGAAAAGAAAGAAAAAAAAAACGAAAGAAAAAACGTAAAAGAGAAAGAAGAACAAGGAAAAAGAAAAGTAAGAATTTAAAGAAAAGAAAATTAAGAAAAAATGAAGAAAAGAAAAAAAGAAGGAGAAAGAAGAACAAAAATGGACAATAAAAAGAAAGACAATAAAAGAGTATTAAAGAAGAAGAGAGACAAAACGTAAAGACAGAAGGTGAAAGACAAATGAAGAAGAGCAAGAAAAAGGAAAAGAAGAACGAATGAGTGAATGAGGAAGGTAAAAAAAATGAATAGAAAAAAACGAACAATAAAGAAAAAGAGAGAAAAATAAAAAAAAGAAGACAAATTATACAAGAATGAAAAAAAAATGAAAGAAACGAATACGTAAAAAGGAGAAGGAAAAATAAGACATGGAAGAAGAAAGAAAAATGATGAAAAAGAGCAAGACAAGAATGAAGAATAACAAATGTTGAAGAAAGAAAAAAAGAAATATGACAAAGTACAACAGGAGAAGACAAAGAAAAAGAAAAAGAAAGAATATGAATAAAAATTAGAAGAAAAAGAGAAAGAACTAAAGAAGAAAGAACAATAAATGTGGGCGAATGAAGAAGTTCAAAAATATGATTGAAAATAAAAAAGGAAAGAAAGACAAAGAGAATAAGAACGTGCACGTAAAATGAAAGAAAAAAAAGAATAAAAGAATATGGCGTTGAAGAGAAAGAGGGAAATAGAAGAGGAAGAAGTTAAAGAAGAAAGAAATGGAAAAAAAGGTAATGTGATGGAAAAGGGGAAAGGAAATTAAATCAACAGAAAAAGAGAAGGACGGAGAAGAAGAAGTAAAAGCTGAAATAAAGTAAGAGTGGTAAGAAAGGAAGAAAAAGAAGATGAAGAAGAAGAAGAAGAAATGAAAAAGAAAAAGAAGATGAAGAAGAAGAAGAAGAAATGAAAAAGAAAAAGAAGAAATGAAAAAGAAAAAGAAGAAATAAAAGAAGAATAGGTTGAGAAGAAGAAGAAGACGAAGAAGAAAAAGAAATTAAAAAGAAAAAGAAGAGGAAGAAAAAAAGAAGAATAGGTTCAGAAGAAGAAGAAGAAGAAGAAGAAATGAAAAAGAAAAAGAAGAGGAAGAAATAAAAGAAGAATAGGCCAAGAAGAAGAAGAAAAAGAAGAAGAAGAAAAAGAAGAAGAAAAGAGAGGAAGAAAAGCAGAATAGGAAAAGAAGAACAAGACAAAGAGGAAAATAAAAACGTAAAAGAAGCAGAGAAACAAGAGGAAAAAGAAAAAGTAAAAGAAAAAGAATGAGAAGGTCAGAACAGTGATATGATGAAGAAGAAAATAGAAAAAAAGTATGAAGTAATTGAAGGAAAAAAAGGAATAAACAAAAAAGGAAAGAAACGGTCTATGTTCAGAAATTTAAGACGAAGGAAGCAACAACAAAAGAAAATGGAAGAAAGAAGGAAGAAAAAACGATAAAGAAAGGAAAAGGGAATAGAGAGAGAGGGGATAAAGAAAGAATGGAAAATAAAGATAGAGAGAGGGGATAAAGAAAGAAAGTAAAAAAGAAAGATTGAGAGACGGAATAAAGAAAGAAAGGAAAAAAGAAAGATAGAGAGGGGATAAAGAAAGAAAGGAAAAAGAAAGATAGAGAGAGGGGATAAAGAAAGAAAGGAAAAAAGATAGAGAGAGGAGATAAAGAAAGAAAGAAAAAAGAAAGAGAGCTGGGATAAAGAAAGAAAGGAAAAGAAAGATAGAGAGACGAAATAAAGAAAGACAGGAAAAAGAAAGATAGAGAGAGGGGGATGAAAGAATGGAAAAAAGAAAGATATAGAGAGGGGGGATGAAAGAATGGAAAAAAGAAAGATAGAGAGAGGGGATAAAGAAAGAAAGGAAAAAAGAAAGATAGAGAGACGGAATAAAGAAAGAAAGGAAAAAGAAAC